CTCTCTCCTCTACATGTGGCCGGCCCCTTAATGGGCTTTTCTCTCTCCCAATTTAAATTCAAAGCCCCACCAAATCAGCCCATAATTATCTCCTCAATTAACACCTCTAGCCATTAATGGATTAATTTGAAATTTCAAATTAATCTCCCTCCAAAACCCCTTGAAGCTGAATTTAATTCAGTTTTCTAATTTTTTCCCTCTTCCCCTTGCTCACGGCCAAGCCCCTCCCTTCACTAAACCGCCACCTTTCTCCCCCTCAAGGGCTCAAGAAGAGAGCTCGCCACATCCATGGAAGGCCGACCCCGACATCAACCACAGCTTCGTCTTTGATGATCAAGGAAGAAAGGATAAGACGTTGGATGCTCTCTATTCATCCCATGGACTATCCGCCACCGGCTACCACTCCAACGGACTACACTTTGTGCGCCATTTGTCTCCTAGTGGCATCGCTCGGTTGATCTCAATCTTCCTCCATTAAAGTGCCACCAACAAGAGAGTGAGTGAGAGACCCAAGGTGAAAAGTTCTATTTGTTAATTGTGGATTATTGTTTCTCTCCATAACATTACTATCTAATTCTATGTTGTCAATTTGATATTGTCCCATTAATCTAGTTGTAACCACATGCCTTACTTAATTTCGACTTGATAATTCCGAGAACTTAATTCGGGTAAGCATTAATTCTATAACTAGCAAGGCTTTAACATTCTTATATTAAAATCCCCAAGCAGTTCTTGTTTCCATGCATTACGTTTCACATCATTCCTCCTTCCAGCAATCAAGAGGTGCTGTCAAGCTGCCAAGAAGGTCGCTGTCCTCTTCCAGCAGCCTACCTGTAGGCTGCTATAACTTCTCCAAACGGCAAGGTCTTCCTCTCGGAAGGCTGCGGTCCACTTCCTAGTTCTCTAAATAACTAATCTTGCCACAATTTCAGCCGCTGCCCCCTGCTTATGGTGCAAGAATTCTGCAACAAGGATTTGTTGTAATCTTCTAGCATTCAAGATGGCCTTTCATTACTAGTTTTAGGTTATTTGTCTTTTTTCTTTGTCTTGTACAACTATTCCGGTGTTAGACACTTAAAAATATTTGTGGAGAATATTAATGATCGAGCCAGCTATAAGATGCATCTTTTTTTTTTCTTTCAATATTCCCATTTTGCTGAGGGCATTGACATAGGAATTTTGTTGATAATCCATTGATGTAGGAGATAATTTTCAAAGGAAAATTCAAAGTATTTTTTGGCATCGTCAGTTTTTATAATTTTTACTTTGTACTAAAATTTGGGGTAGATTGTGATGTTGAAATTTTTAAAATTTTCTTCTTTTTTAATTTTACTTTCATTAAGAAAATCCAAATGAGATAAATATAATTATCGATGAAGGAAGTAAACTATACAAGATGCTACTGCTGGCATTGTTGGTGTTCCTAGACATATTAGAGCTCTCTACTCATAGATCCTATGTCGTTAGCAAGCTACTATTGGTGCTAGAAGCTCATCTATGTTGGTGAACTTGTTAGTATGCATGGGGAGGGAAGAAGGGGTTTTTAAAACCCTGTTTTGCATACTTTGGGTTTCAGAGAATAACCTTGGTAGGAAATACCAAAGTTTTATTACAAACTGTAGTAAAATACAAAGATTTTTTAAGCCACGTAACAATGACAACAACATCAAGCCTTTATCCTAGTACTAGGGGTCGATTATATTAATTATTTTTTCTCCATTCTGTCTTGTTAAGAGTCAAATTCTCATTTAAAACTAATAAAGAATTTTTATTTTTAATATTTTATAACCAAGTCTTTTTACATCTACCTCTACCTTTCTTAACATAAGCCAAATCTAATACATCTACTATCCAAACTGGGTCATCAGATGACCACCGTTTTATGTGAGCAAACCATCTAAGGTGGCTCTCTCTAATCTTATCTTCCACCAGAGCTACTCTAACCTTTCACGTATATGCTCATTTTGTATCCTGTCTCTAAGAGTAAAGCCACTCATCCACCTGAGCATACTCATCTCCGCAACACTTCACTTAATTTTATGCTTCTTTTTTAATGGCCAACATTCTGCACCATAAAGCATTGTAGGTCTCACGACAATCTTATAGAATTTTTCCTTAAGTTTGATGGGACTTTTCTATCACACAACAAGCTAGATGCATTCTTCTATTTCAACCATCCAACTTGAATTCTACTTATAATATCCCATTTGTTTCACCATCGCTCTGAACAATAGACCCATGATATCTAAAACGTGTACTCTTATTAATGACTTGATCGCCCAAAGTCAGAATCCACTCACTAGAACTTTTACTTCTAGAATTATACTCCATATATTTGGTTATAGTTATCTCAAGCGAAAACCTTTAGAGTCTAAGTTTGACCTCCATAATTCAAGTTTACCTTCAACATTTAATAAAAACTCAAATATGTAAGGATGTTAAGATTTTTTTTTTATTTTTATTTTTTAATTTTATTTTTTAAGAATATTAAGATATTTGATTGTCCTTTTTCACAAAAATAGGGTGTACTATTATTCTTGTTTTACAAAGTCTTAAATAGAATGACCCTTAACGCAAAAAGCTAGACTATACGAGGTTTATAAAAGCTTTGTGAAAAAAACCTGGCATATCTTACATGGCTTAAACTTACTTTCGTTATTTATCTTGTTTATGCAAAATTTTCTGTAAAAGAAAAAATCAAAGTCTATTCAAAACTACATTATAACTATCATCCACTGACCTGATAAGGAACTTGGCTAGAAAAAAGGACTTGTGTTTATCGGTGTCATGTCTATACTTTGTTTCTGCTTGATAATTTAAGGTTCACGTTATAACCGTGTATTGCATCCATTTGAACGATAAGTTTTACATCTAATGCATACTGTAAAAGGAAAACATGCAATTCACGCCTAAATTGCTGAAATTATGCATACTTGTTACTGAAATGATACAGCTTCTGAACGCCAGAATTGATTATCTTTAGTATTGATGGATCATTCTTTTAGATAATGCTTTTGATGCTTTTTTATTGCCATGGAATACTGCAGAAACTGTTTTATCTGTGCGTTCTTAGTTATGATTATCTAATAAACATACGAATTTCATTCACTTTCCTGATTCTTGTGACCACTACATGATATAGCATTAACATTTTTCTTATAGGTCCTGCTTTGTTGGTTGATGTTCCAAGAGACAAGAATATAACAGGTAGCTTCTACTCGAAACTGCGTATTTTAGTTATAAAATTGCTTTTGACCTCAACATCAAAAGTGAAAAAAGTTGCTCTTGAATGTTATTTATTTTTTGTTCAATTGAAGATTTTTATTTTTATTTTTTGAACCATGGTTGAATTTAGTTCTGCTTTTCTTGTGGTTTTATGGCATGAATGCTTGCTTGCTCAAAATATATATTTTTGTTAATTTGACATTCTCAAATTCTACTAGTAGTTTATTTTAATTTGATTGCAGTCAGGTCTGACGTTTCAGTGTCTTTGCAGGTACACATATATGATTAAATATTTATTGTTTTTCTTTTCTCATTTTTTCCATAATATATAAAGGTTTCTTTTTGTAGCCATCGTTCAGTAGAATCAGTTGGTCTGAAGGTAAGGTTGTTGGAGTGTTGCGAGGGTGTTTAATAAGAACAAACAAAGCTACTTTTTTTACCATGATTGTATGTGCTAGTGGTATTGTGGACGGTGATTGTCAAATGTATTTTTATTTTTAAATAATTTATGTTACGAGGTATGTTATGTAGATGAACTGAATCTCTTCATGAGTTGCTTAAATTATATTTCATACAGCTGAAGCAATGGAGTCCCTGCATATTCCAAGAGGAGTTCGACGTGTGCTTTTCAGGACACTGAATACTGATAAGTAAAATATTCTACCACTTTTTTTTTTTTTCTTTTGACTAACATTTTCTAGATAATTCTACTTGAGAATATCTGTTACCAATTTGTAACTTAAGCTATTCGTCCCAATTAATACTCTGATTTTAAGCCACTCCTCTATAACGTCACTTCTATACTTTTTTTTTTTGGGAAAATTTTGGGGCTTAGCCCGTTTTATAAATGACAAAAAGGTTACAAGAAAAAGAGAAAAGCCAACTGCAAAAACACATACAATTAAAAAAAGGTAAACAATATTAAAAGCATGTACCCAAAACCAGAGAAGACATGGACAAGGTGAAGAAGGGAGAAATGTTGGACTCAGGTAATAAAAAAGCCAACCACCAAAATTTCCTTAACACCAAGGCGCAAAAGCATGTGATTGAGAGCCCAGTTTGTTGCATGGCCATCATTATTAAATTTGATTGGCACGGGGGCCGCATCCGAGGCGAAAATAATAGTCAGAATAATACCTTCAGGCCAAAAACCTTGGTTGCCATGAAGGCCCTCCAAGGTATTGAATGTAAGTGATTGGCTTCACTCATCATTGTCTAGAAGACGAGAGTAGCAAAAATTGAATAGAAGAACCAATATTCATCATGAAAGAGTAGCAAGAAATGCATCTTTGATCGAATCATAGTTTTCCATTTTGATACCTTTAGTCGAATAGCATTCTTAATATAAGTAATCACAGCAGACAGGTTAACCTAGTTCCCAGAAAACCGTAGATAATGCAGCAAATTGATAAGAAGAAAAACAGCTTTTCCCCTTTATTGAACTATATGTTATTGTAAAAATAATAAAATAATTGAATTATAGTCGCTCTCATTAAAAATGAATTGAGAAACGGAAGTAAACCATTAACCACTAAAATTGAGTAATTACACTAAAAAAGAGGTGCTTATGGGTCTCCAGTGCGTTTTTACAGAAAGGGCTAGAGGAATGTCAATTCCCTTTTTAATCATTAAATCAGCCATTTTTAGTAGTCCAATGCTTACCATCCGGCATAAGTTGAGAATCTAACAGAATATTGTTTTTGCCATATATATTTATGCCAGAACACTTATGAATAAAATTGGGAATTAAAATTCCTGGTTATAGGATTTGAAACTCCCTCCCATAAAACAAACCTATTCTCCGAAATGGGTATATCCTCAATGAGATTCTGAAAAGCAAGAGGGATGAAAACAAGCAAAACCCATGTGTTATGAATATAATTATCCACAGTAAGATTAGATAATCTAGGTGGAGTAAAAAACTCTGAGAGAGCTTTGTGTTAGGAAGTACTTGGAATTGTTAAGTAAAGCCTAACTATCTTGATGAAATCCAAAGGAAAAACTAGGAAAAATAGTAATTTTATTGCGATAATCAAACTAACGGAAGAAAAATAACAAGATTCAATTTATCCTCTATTCGAAAGGAGGATCTATCTCTCCCAGATCTCTGGACGCCGTTAGTCCAAAAATCTAAATCTAAGAGACCTTAAATTTCATCCAAATTTAAGATGCCCTAACCCTAGGAAAACCAACTATTTAATGAATACAATCTAAAAGGAAATCTCTAAACAATCTCTGCATTCAAATTTCCCTCCTAACTCCGCCAAAAATCCTTCCCAAAAAGTTCTGTTGGCTCTTGCAGTCCGATCGGCTCTTACAGGAGGCAGAAAACTTCTGCCTGTTACGTCGAGTTGGTCCCGTATGGACCGGTCTAACACTTTGCCTTTATACCTTGGGTCCCAAAAAAAGGATAGATTACAGTTTGGAGATATAGAGAAAGATAACTTATCTTTAATTAAGAGAGTTGTGGCGCAAATGTGTTTCCACATGTTAGAGGCATGAGTAGGGGGAGGTTTCCAAAGAGATGAAAACTTATTTCTATACTAATCGGCTATTGCAGAATCCTACATGGGGAACCTCCCGATAAAAGAACAAGTGAAGCTATGATGGAGTGCATCAATAGAAAGAATTCTTAGACCGCCATGAATCCTAGGTTTACAAATAGTTTTCCAAGCAATAATTTGCATCCTTCTATTAGTTGTATTTCCATGAAGTAAAAATTGGGAGCAATGCCTATATATAATTGTACAATAGCTTCTGGGAATAATAGCTCCTCTAATCCAATATGCCAAGGTGTTAGAGATGCTGAATTTTAGAAATTGCACCCTACCTGCAAAAGACAAGAATTTGACTTTCCAACCATCAAGTAGAGTAGTAATCTTGTTCAGTAGTGGTTGGAAGTGAGTAAAACTTAGCTTTGCCGCAGATATAGGAAGCCCAAGTTATGTGAAAAATGTTTCAATTTCGTGGATACTAAGAGTTAACAATAACATCTTGACAGGTAGTGTTAGTGGAGAAGATGATGGAGCTTTTATTAGGATTAATCTTAAGAGTTGTAGCATTAACAAATACTTTAAGAATATGCTTAAGATTTAAAACATTCTGGGTGGAAGCAACCCCAAAAACCAATAAGTCACCTGCGTAGAACTGGTGATTAAGGTTATGATCATTTGAAGTAATGCTGCATAAGTAGTTGTCTTGGTAAGAATCAAGACAACTAGAAAGTGCATCCATGATTATGCTGAACAACAACGGCGAAAGAGGGTTGCCTTGCCTAAGGCAATAGGAAGATCTGAAAAAGCCTTTAAGAGATCTGTTTATGCAAATGGAGAAATAAACATCTTCAATATAACCCTTAATACATTTTAAAAATTTTTTCAGGAAAACCTTTTTGCCTCATCCAATGGATTATGAAATCTCTAGAAACCATGTCAAACGTTTTTAGAATGTCCATCTTAGCACAAAAAAGATTTCTCTTGGTTTTAAACTCCCTTAGAACCGCAAAAGTAAGAATAATATTGTCAAGTGAACATTTCTTGTTAATAAAACCAGCTTAGATTTCATGAATAATAGATGAAAGAACTTTTTTGACTCTATTGGCAAGAAATTTAGCCACAATCTTATAGAAAATGTTGCAAGTGGGTAAAGCAAAAAACCACTGCTTTGATTTCCTCATTAGAGAAAGGCTTCACAAGGTATTCGGCAAGGGGAGAAGAAACCAACTTCCTAGGAAGAAGGTTGAAGCTATTAGCATTGGGAGTTTTAGGGTAGTTAAAAAGCCCAATGAAATGGTTAACAATAGCTTCCGCTATTTCATTAGGTTTGGTGAAGTGCCCATGGGAAGTGAAAATCTCCTTTAGCATGTTACAGTTTTTTTAGGGATCTGATTTTGATATAAAGAAAATCAAGCTAATCTTCACCATTAGTAAGCCATTTAGCTTTAGCCCTAAGAGGAAAGCTAGTCATTAATATCTTTCATATTTTTATTAAGGGTGACGTCTAAAGTATTTGTTTGCAACTCAGAAAGACATTGATGATGTTTACATTTTAGATCTCCAATGTAGAAGGATAAGAAGTTAGTTGTAGACAAATTTTTCCTCTTTAAGGGATGTTTTTAAAGCTTGGAGACTAGAGTATAAAGAACCAATTAGAGATCCTTGTGTTTGAACAGAGAAAGCCTCTAACACATCTTTACGGAAACCCATCCATTTGAGCCCAATAATTTTTAAAGAGGAATTTACTAGGTTTAGTGGGAATTGATGAGGAGAAAATGATCAAGGGAGAGTGATCATAACAATTAGGAGGTCGACCTTGTAGTAAGCTGTTATAAAGCAATTCATCCATTCAGAGTTCACCAGAGCTTTATCCAATTTAATATGAATTGGGTTGTTAGTCCTTTAATTAAAGGTGTAGGATAATCCCAGCGATGAAAGATCATGTACACCGAAGCCAAAAATAGAAGAATTTTGTTGTCCCAACCTGTTATGCTGCAGTCTGTTTCCCCCCGCTTTTTCAGTATCAAAACTACAACAGTTAAAGTCACCCACGATAATCCAAGGATGATTAATTGAGACAGCCAAAGTTGAGACCAAAGTATTCCCCTCTCAATAGGAGAATTAGCCATGTTAATAACTGAAAGCATTATGGGTGGAGAGTAGCACGAGATAAGGGTCCCATGAATAATTTGAGGGATGAGGACAGAATGGGAGAAGGAGATGGAAGAAGTGTCCCATTTAAGCCAGATCCTTCTAGGAGAAGAAGAATTGCAATTGTGACAGTTACCCTCTTTTTCAAAAAGCTTGTGAGAGTTTACAATCCAGGGATAAAAAATACTAGAAGGTAGAATTTTCGCTTCTAAAACACAAAACATTTTCAGCTTATGAAAGCTAATTAAGTCTTTGCTAGCATTAACTTTGTCAGGGCTATTAAACCCTCTGACATTCCAACTAGCAAAAGTAGAAAGATTCATTTGGATTTGTAAGTGGATTGTTTTGCCTTTTTGAAAGATTTGGCTTTTTTGTGTTTAGTAGGAGGAAAAGATTGTTTTGGAGGAGGTTGTTTGGCTGTAGATTGGATGTGCCAGGAGTGAATCCTTCCAAATTTTAGAGTTTCATCTATTTGATTTGTATCAGTGGGTTGGGAAGTTTGGGAGGTTTGAGATATATTTTTCATTCTGGAAATAATCAAATTTATTAGAAAGGGGAATTTTAGCAGGTTGAGGGGCAAAAGTTTTAGAAGTTGGTTCTTAAGTGGAAATTTCTTTAGTAGGGAAGTTGAGATTTGGAATGACGGGATCTTTATTCAGCATTAAAGATGTGTCGATAGGGGGAGCAAAGGTTTCAGTCATGGAGGCAGGGGGTTTAATGGGTTCTATCCTAGGAAGATTGGTATGTTGGGGTGTGTTAGTGTTTTTAGTTGTGAGGGGTATGATGACAGCCGACTTTGAGTGATTTTGAGGATTTCTACTTTTGCTCCTACCTCTCGAATTATATGTGGCTTGCACGATGTGAATTGGATTAGGATTTGAAGGATAGAGGTTAGAGGGATGCACGATGGATCCACAAGACTCACAAGAAGGTTTCCAGTTATTGACAACCTTCAAAACCAACTCCTCGCCATCAATCAGTAAAGGAATTTCTTCAGGGAGGGT